AGCAAAAAGTCTTAACTTGTCTGATTCTACTTACCCAACAACAACTTGCAAGATCCCCCCCCCCCCCCGAAATAAACTGAAACCAACAAAAGTTCATGAACAATGCAATTTTCCATTTTCCTAAAAATAGGAATACGGAGAAAGGATTATCACCAGGCACTTAAAGAGCTGTAGCAAAAGCGAAGCAGGTCAAAGTATAATGATTACATGTACACTGATAAATGTGGAGAACTTTTGAAATTCACTAATTAATTCAAGGTGCCCTATATAGATCACAGTTCCCAAATGTTGAGGAAAATCAGTGCATATGTGTAAGCTGAAGGCCTTTATTTCAGGGTTTTTTGTTTTTAAATAGACACTTGTCTCAAACATCAGACTACAGGGCTTGAAAACTAGCACCAACCTTTTCAAATGTTAGGCTCCTAAATAGAAACAGACTGGTTCACAGAACTTCTGAACAGCAGAATCTCACTGAGTAGCAGATGCAGCCCTTATTTAGGCCTACATATTTAACACAGTAAAATTAATATATTAAGAGAAATTGGAATGGATTTTTTTATACTCATTTTGATACTTTATTATGTATAAGTAGAATCTTTCAGGTTTCACTTATGGATCATGAGTAAGATGCTGTGGGCTCAGAATAATTATGAGCTTGCAGACTCAAGGAGAGCAGGGAAGCCCCGAGAGCATGACTTCCAAGGCTCCCATCTCAGCTAGGCGTTCCAGTTTCCCCAGCAGCCTTCCAGGTAGAATTTAGTTTAAAGTTATAGAAATTAAGTATTTAGATTTGTTTCCAAAACTTTTGGATTCTGTTTCAAAGAATTTTGGCTGTTCAAAATTTCAATAATACATTTCAAAATCCTCCATGAAACAGAATTACCATTCCTTGCCCAGCCTTAAATCTTACAACATTGACTGAAGCATCTGGTTCTGGCTAGTATCTGACATGAAAGACTAGACTGCATCAACTGCTGTTCTGAATATCACAAGTCTTATGAATATGGTGATTTACCTAGCTCAGAGGGGAGTTATGGATTAGCAAGTGTTCATAAAGTAGCCTTACCCCCCCCCTTTTCCCTCAGTGTAAATGTAAGTTGAAGATAACACCAAGTTATTGCTAGTAAACTTAAACAAGTAATTTGTTTTCAACTGTCAAGGAAAATCCAAGCAAATATGCTTGTGTATATGTAAATTAGGCACACTCAGGTTCCTGGCATGCTGCCAGTGCAGGCTTTTGGCATCAAGTGAACCTAGCTAGATTCTGTGAATATCCATTATAAAACAAGGTGTTATCACAGAAATGATAACAAACCCTTAATTCTACTAATATGTGCCCATATTGCTGTAATACACAACTAGTCTTGCTTTGTATCCCCCAAAGCCAGCTGAAGTGCAGCAGAGAATGACAAGAAATAGTGACCTGATTAAAAACTGGATGCCATTTAGGAATGTTCGTTATTAAAAAATGTAAAATTAATAGAATGGGCTCCATGCAGTGTAGGTAGAGGAAGCAGTAGTGTGTGTTTTTAAAACACCAGCTTAGAGGTATTCAGCTTAATGCCAGACTAATGTTGCAAACTGAAGTAAATGTTTTATGTTAACACTTTATGGTTTCACAGAGGTTGAAAGGAGTTGCAGAATTTAACGGCTGTTATGAGGTTACACAAGTCAAACATGGAAGAATTAGGCTACTCAGATATGGCAGTCCGTTCTTAAAACCACAAGAGCCAGAAGCATAGATTTCCAGTGTTCCTATATGTATATAAAACCCACCACTGGAAACAGCATCTCCTTTTGTGGCAATGTTAAAATGAGGACACTTTCAGATTTAAGCGACAGACTAACCCTTCCAAACTACACATGCTTTAAAAAGGAAAGGATTATGGCGCTCTCTCTCACATTATAATAATGATTCATCTAACTTTATAGACTGATAAATTGTGTGAAAGCACAAATATAAATATTAGCAATCCTAAAGCATGAATGCTTCCTGGTCAGACTTCGCCTATGATGCCTTGATAACATGTCTGTAACTATGAGTAGGGATTTTTTTTTTAAGTTTGCCTCTTAAAGATTAGTCTTTATCTGTTTCCTAAAACAATTGAGTTGTTCCCAGGTCAGATTTTCCTCTTATAGTATGCAATGGTTTTCTGGAGAGTGGCTAGGGATAAGTATGGAAAATTCTGACTTAAGTTTTCTGTTCCAATGCTACATCACCCCATACGTATTACAGGGCATCCATAACTTTTTTATTAGGTACCGCCATCAGATTTCTTCAGTAATTAGACACTAACAGCATTTTATAACAGCAAGTAAATGACAGATTACTCAGTTTGATTCTTTATTGGGAAGCATTTAGCATACTTCTTCGTATGAGTGACTTTAGACAGTTAGGTACATTTTTAGGATCATTTAGTTTTATACCACACCAGAATATTAACCCTTTTTCACAATGTTCATACAGCAAAAGATGAGCAGACAAATGTCCAGCTATTTAACCAACAATAATTAAGTCATCAGAAGCAAATTCATAATATGGAACCTCAAGGTTGGCTGGAGCAGGACCTTTTCTAATTCTGCCAGATGCATCATAGTGCGACCCATGGCAAGGACAATAATAACCACCAAAATCTCCAGCATTTGCAATGGGTACACAACCAAGATGAGTACAGACACCTACCAGTATAACCCATTCTGGTTTTTTTACTCTGTCTAAATCATGCTGTGGATCTCTTAGTTCAGTCAATGGTACTTCAGCTTCCTGATTAATCTCCTTCTGGGTTCTGTGACGCACAAAAAGGGGTTTCCCTCTCCACTTGAAAGCCATATTCTTGCCTTCTGGAATTTCAGACAACTTGATCTCAATTTTTGACATTGCCAACACATCAGCAGAAGCACTCATGCTGGAAACAAACTGGGTGACAATATTCTTAGCAGCATATGCAGAGGCTACACATGTTGTTGCGGTCAGAAGATAGGAAAACCCTTTCCTAGCATCGCTGCTATCTTGAGAAGATTTTGTTTTATCTAACACATCTGGGCGACGGTAGTCAGAGAAGTCAGGTACTGTGACATCATTGTGGATGTACCGAACGCTAGCTGGAGCTGCAACAAAAAGGTAAAGATTTATATATTAACTGCAAGCATCTTCATAATAAAAACCTAGTACCATATTGACTATGAAGCTTTTTTGTTGTGTTTCAAGGAATTCAAGGTGAAATTGGAAAGAGGTCCATAATACTTTCTGTAAACAGTAAATCTGATAACTGCATATTGTTAGAAAGTAATAGTTACCACCCTGTTGTGGTAGTATAAAACCATTTGGGAAACTTAACCAGTTTCTACATATGACCTCCACCACCCCCACCAATATCTGACACTATAAGCCAAGTCTGTCTAAAAAGAAAAATTCCAGATTGTATTATATTCACAACTGGGCTATGTAATGATTTAAAGGGCCCTGGCACAACTTAAAATACAGCAATGTTAAAGGACATTTTAAAATTCTATAACCTCTTAAAAGCTTGAAATCTGTTTCCTTGCCAAATCTTCCCTACCATACTTTTCTCATTGAAAGACTGCTTATGAGCGATGGTTTACCCTAAATTTAAAACTTTAAAATCAATTTTTTTTTTTTGGAGACAGTAGTAGGTTAAATGGTGGCCTATTATACATGTTAACGTTCTACACTGAACCTGAAGAATACCATGGGCAGCAGGGAGGGAAGACTAAGAAATTCTTAACGTGAGATTTTTTCCATTTTAAAGCTCCCCAGAAACACTGGGATTAAGAAACATGGGTTTAAAAAAGCATTTAGGCCGTGAACCAGCAAATATTTATACATGTACTTTACTCTGACTTCAATGGAACCACTCAAGAGTGTGTAAAGATAAGCATGCATGTGTTTGCTGGATTACTGCACACATTTAAGACGTTTCCCTAAGGTCTTGTATTCATATTCCAGTGCCAAATTTTACTGGTTGGATTCCCAGTTTCACAATTATGCCAAAATGGTCCACTGGGTCAGGACTAATGCAAACATATGTGGTAGTTTTTTCAGAAAAGGTGAATGCTATTTGTCTTAACAAAAACTGATACTCAGTTAAAGAATAAAGTAAGTATCAATTTAAAGACCAAAAACACTACCTGCCGATATTCTGTTGTGTACTGAGATATTTAGCCTTACATTGCATGTTTCATTTTTTTCTAGAAATTCCCATCAATAACACAGAAAGTTAACAGACGAGTCCCCTCAAAGGATTTCTAAGAACAGACATTATGTGCAAAGGAAATCATCATGCAGGGACTGCACCAAGATAAAACTAATGGAGACTATAAAGTGCATCTATTTACAAGGAACTTTGCAAAAAGCAGCCATTTTCTCTGTCTTTAATTGCAGAGAAATTAAGCAGTGATTTTTAAAATTCTATGATAGCAAGTATTATTCATTTACTTTTCTGTTTAACTCTTGATCTTAGAGTTTACACCCCATAAGGATGTAATGATGCAACACAGTTTTAAGCTTAAAAATGTTGTGTTCTTCTTTCAATGGAGAAGTGCTATTTAGTATTAACCCTCATGTATAGTGTTGAGTATAAACTGTTTCCTATTACTTGCACTGCAAGTATGTCAGATTAATGACAGGATGTGCATTTTATAGCAGAATGTCAGCCTCAAATATTTGTGTAATTGTAATCACTACAAAAGCATCTTTCCACAAGGAATAGTAGTTCCAACATCTGTGTAAACTGTGAGACCACACAGTGAAAGCTATTACTACATGCCATTGAATTGGGAGATTTTGATGACTTCTGTACAATGTAGCAGCACACAAGCCAGTTTGCATTAAGGATTTTAAAGTGGGGTTCTTTTGCTGGAATGTGACTCTGAAAATTGTAATGTAGAGTTCTATGGTTGTATCTCAATCACGTCAGATAAAGGCCAAAATTTTCAGAAGCAGCTGCTAATTCTAAGTGCAATTTCTCGTCTCAAAAACTGAGGCTGAGGTTGATTTGCACCCAAGATGAGATGCAGGTACTCTGCTCCTCTGAAAATCAAGCCAAAACAGTCTCAAGTTTGTCACTCAGAACTTGAGACTCTCCCTCCCCCAACACACACATGCAGCGGCCACTTTAAGTGCAGCTGCAACTGTTCCATTTACAATTAAAATGTTATTAACTAAATCAAGCAAAGGCAATCTGGAAGCTGAGAGAAACCATTCTGTCCATTTTGTGCAGGCTTATACCCTCATTGCCTTGCCTTCCCTAGAAACTAGGTTAATGCTTGGACCTTGAGAAACGTCCTCAACCTGATGTTAAACAAGACTTGAGTCAATGTAGACAAGGCCAAGTGGCATTTAACATGTCAGTTGGTCAATACTTGTGCACACCTACTGTCTCCATATTTATGCACTAACATGTGTAAGCCCATTTTTTTTTATATAGGAAAATGGAATAAATACGTTCAGTTTTAAAAACTGGAACATGGATAGTGTTATTGGAAAAGGGGTTATACTGAAGTTTTGAATGGAGAACTGACTTTGCTAAGTTTGAAAATTAAGTCCTGTAAAGTCATCCACTATACAAACATTCTATTAACAGGAACTACTCGGTCAGTACCATTGCACATACAATTGCAAAACACTGCATGAATTGGACAACAGTGAGGCTGATGGCATGAGTCTCCTTGCAAGATTAAAACTGTTGTTTTTGTAACTATAAAGAACCCCCTCACTTTTGGTCTCAGATGTAGTCCTTTACTTGTAGTTAACACAATTAAGTACCATTAACATGTACATGCAGTGTTTTCTGTTCTCTCCCTATTCTGGAGCCGTGAAGTGAAATCCTGCCCGGAGTACCTACCAAGGAGTCAAGCACAAACTCTTGTCTAAAATCACTGCTTGTGATCACGCAGTTTGCACTGAATTAGACTCAATTACTTCCTCAAGTATGGAAAACACTCAAACTGTTCACGTTTCCCAGTCTCCCTCAGTCCCGCACACGGGAGATTTACAGCACCCCTGCACCTGATCCTATGGGGGCTGAAAAGAGTTCCTCCGCTGGGGATGGACCCACACACTTCCGGGGGGCAGATCAGAGTCAGTAACTCACAGCTGAGCTGCAGACGAAACCCGAGCATGAGAAGTGCAGCCCCAGCCTCCAAGGTCACCCCAAGGCCTAGCCAACCCTGACGTGCGGATGCAGAGGGGCCAGACGCAGGCTTGGCCCATTCCCCTCGCACAGTGACCTGAGGCTGGGGGCCGCTGGTGGTGCGAGTCTCCTCCCGGGCTGGCTCCCTCCGCCCCCCTGCGCCGCAGTGACCCGAGCGCTGCTCCCCATGGCAACAAGGCCCACAGGCCCCAGCAACACTCCCGACCCTGCGGCTCCACCAGGCCCATCTCCGCGCCCCGTCCCCAGGCTGCCCCCACCCCTGTCCCGCACCGTTGAGGCTGGCGGTGGCGACGAGGCCTCCGCGGGGCGCTCGGCCGCTCAGCGATTCCCGGCTCAGCACAGGCCGCTTCGGGTCCAGCGGCAGCTTCTCGGCCTGCAGCACCAGCCCCGGCACCAGCGGCTTCAGCGGGCCCGGCACGGCGTGCGCCGCGGCCGACAGGTACGGAGCCAAGGGGCCGGCACGGGCTGCCACGGACAACATGGCGGCGACTGTGTCTCGAGCGGATCACCTCAGTCACTCCCGGGCGCAACCTCCCGGTGGCCGTGGCGCCGCGCGGACGCCGTGCCCCGCCTCCTGCACGTACGTACGTGCGCACGCCCCGCCCCCTCGGCGGGGGGCGTCACCCAGGCATTCGGCTCGGTGCGCAGGCCCGGCTCTGTGCCCCGCCCTCCAGCCTTGGGTTCTGCTGCGTAGCGGCCCTACCTAGGCTCCATGCCATGCTGTGTCACCTTGGGCACTGCCCGTGCAGCGCGGTGATGTCATTCAGAACACCACTGCGTGCCAGTGACATCATGCCACGTAATGCATGAGGTCACATGGGGCCTTATAAAAATGAGATAGTGGGCCAAAAATGACATGTCACCTTAGCATGCCAGAATCACAGAAATGTAGGGTTGGCAGGGCCCCCCATGGGTCATCTAGTCCACTGGTTCTCAACCAGGGGTCCAGGGCCCGCTGGGGGGGCTGCCAGCAGGTTTCAGGGGGTCTGCCAAGCAGGGCTGGCATTAGACTTCTTGGGGCCAAAGGCAGAAAGTCAAAGCCCCACCCCCTGGGGCTGAAGCCTGGTGACCCAGACCCCGCCACCCGTGGCTGAAGCCAGAGCCTGAGCAACTTTAGCTTTGCAGGGTCCCCTGTGGTATGGGGCCCTGGGGACTGCCCTGCTTGTTACCCCCTGCAGCTGGCTCTGGCTCTTATATCCAGAAAAATAGTAGTTGTGGGCCCTGAAGTTTTTATTGCATGTTGTGGGGCCTCAGAAAGAAAAACCCCTCATCTAGTCCATCTCATCTGGCAAAATTAAGTATACCTGCTTAGAATGTGTATGTTGTATCATAACATTGTGCCTTATATAAATGGCATATTATGCCCTAATGACAAACTCACATGAAACTATCACCCCAGGTACCAAAACACCCTAATTCTGCAACACAGATATTGAAGTACCAAACTGCTTCAGATAAACACCATCAGATCAGTGCAAAATGCCATCACAGCACAGAATCATCAGGTCATATTGAAATGCTGTCATATAGCAACAACATGTCATAATGTCACAGCCCAAGTCACTGTCTTGCCATTACAGCTTGTAAAAGATGAGAGCACTGTCACATCATAGACCTGTGATCATGCTTGCCAGTAGGTCATCATAGTCATAACAACTTTGTTCTGTTGCTACACAGTGTCATTATGTTACATCAGATTGCTATTTAAGCAGATCCAAAATTGCAATCACATAAACATGTCACATGAAAACACTATCCTGTCACTCCAAAACATCATCACATCAGCCCTGCCTCGGCATGATGATAGTTCACTGTTGTGTTTTTGGAATGCTCTCTTTGATTCTATCTGATCTTTAGACATTTATATTACACTCATGGTCCTGGTAGCAAGCCACAACCTACAAATACTTACATATGTGCTTAACTTTATTACCATACTCAGGGTCAGCCCTAAAGTTCTGTGCGGGCAGACACTGGCAACTGTACAACTAAATCATATAGATAATACAATATGAGGAACAAGGACATATACAACTTTTTTATTTGGGGAGGTGTGGCAGGACAATGCCCTCACACTGACAGGCGACTAATGAGCTCCTCTGGGCCTTTTCAAGGAGACACAGCTGCAAGATTTGTTCTGCCTGGAGGGAGGAGGAGTTTAAAAGGGAAAACCTGCCATGTCCTGGGGTGATGAATAGGTAGTTGAGACAGGCCTGGGAAGAAGGAGCTAGCAATCAAGTCTCACAGGACCTGAGCTACAGGCCACTGGAGTTGGAGCATGTGTCTAAAGGGCTACCACAGGAAGACTGCCTGAGTTTCAGGTCAGATTTGTTTCTTTTTGATTTCCCATAGATTTTCCTTTTCCATAGAGGAGAGGATGTGTCTCTTCTTAACTCCAAGTGCAGTGGACCTGAAGTGGAGGCTGGAGGGGACTCCTAATCCCCCAGGGTGCTAGAGTTTATATTTAAATAAAAAAATAAAAAATAAAAAAAGGCTGTTGACTATTCTTTACACTATTCTCTTATTATAGCAGGGGCAATCCCCCTAATAATTCAGTTTATCCTCATCAGCCCAAGAGGGGTTCAGTCCTCAGATGGTCTTGGTTGTTTGAAGTTCCTCTCGTTGCCCTGGGGGATTAGCTGGTATCTGGTAGTGGGACTGGGTTAAAGGTCTCTACTGCACAAGTTCTAGCTCATTTCTTTCCTGGCAGGGAAATGGCTCAGCAAACACAATTTCTTCTTCTTGCGAAGGGCACCTTTCTGTGCCTCAGTGAGGCTCGTCACCAGTCTATGCTTCTCCTACTCTTTCTGTAGGCAAGCTGGCTGTTTGCCTCTTGCAAAGGCTACTATCCTTTTTCTCCTCCTGTGCATGAGGACTCAGCATGTCTCCTTAGGGAGAGGAGATCAATCAGTCCAGCCAGCTACAACTCCTCAGGATCAGACTGCCCAGAGCATCATGACTGGTTCTTCCATAGGTCATAGAGCTTAGGAAGCCACCCAGGCCACTTTTAAGTAAGTAAATGGAAATTAGATTTGCCACCTGTCTGGTGGATTTTTCTACTCTTGTGGTTGTCAGTCCAAAGATGTAATTTGCAGGGGGGTTTCATGGTGTGCATGTGTGGTCACGTGTATTGAATGTGTAACTAGCAATGCATGTGTCATGGCTGGCACACAGCTCCCCATTGTGCATTCACAGTATGCAGTGTTCTGGGCTCTCGCCTTCTGAAACCACAGTGACTCCTTTCAGCACTGGGGACCAACTGAGAAGAACAGACTGGTCACCCAAGGGCAAGGCTTGCTAGCAAGGAGGAGTAAGATAAGGAGCGGGGTTGGGGTGGCAGGGGCTCTTGAGAGGGTAAGGTAGGGGAGTTCCTGGAGAGAGATGCCTGGGAGATAGTGGCTGTAGGGGCCAGAGGGGGCAAAGTTGCTGTTGGAGGGTGGAGGAGAGCCATAGCGGGGAGGAGAATGGCCAGATGTGTGTAGGGTAAACCTATGGCCTTCCCGCTTTAAATGGCACTCCACAGCCCCTGGGCGCTTCTCTTTTCTTCCCCTCCTGCACAAGTTCCATGTGGCCTTCTTGCAAAGGGAGGGGGAAGCTAGACATTATGGAGCTTGTGATCCTTTGGCTATGCTTTTGGAGATTCTGGCACGCCAGCATGATTAGACCAGCGTCTAAGGCAGGGGCGGGCAAACTGTTTGGCCTGAGGGCCACATCGGGTTTCTGAAATTGTATGGAGGGCTGGTCAGGGGAGGCTGTGCCTCCTGAAACAGGCAGTGTGGCCTGGCCTCCGCCCCCCCTGCTTCTCACCCCTGACAGCCTTCCCCCCCCCCCCGGCTTGGGATGCCTGCCCCATCCAACCCCCCCCCAGTTCCCTGTCCCCTGATTCCCCCCCCCCGGGACTCCTGCCCCATCCACCCCCCACCTGTCCCCTGACCACCCCCGGACCCTCCAACCCCTCCTCTCATTCCTGACTGCCCCCCCGCCCCATCCAACCAGCCCTTCTCCCTTTCCCCTGACTGCCCCCAGAACCCCTGCCCCTGACTGACTCCCGCCGCCCCATCCAACCACCCCTCTCCTTCCTCACTGCCCTCCTGGGAGCCATGCCCCCATTCAACCCCACTGTTTCCCACCCTCTATCCACACCTCTGCCCCCTGACCACTACCCTAAACTCCCCTGCCCTCTATCCAACCCCCCCTGCTCCCTGCCCCCTTACTGTGCTGCCTGGAGCACCAGTGGCTGGCGGTGTTACAGCCACGCCGCCCAGAGCACCAGGACAGGCAGCCGCACCGTCCGGCTGGAGCCAGCACAGAGCACCGGGTCAGGCTGCGTCTCTGCAGCTGCCCGGCCTGGTAAGAGCTCGCAGCCCCACCGCCCAGAGCATTGCGCCGGCAGCGCAGTGAGTTGAGGCTGCGGGGGAGGGAGAACAGCAGGGGAGGAGCCCGGGGCTAGCCTTCTGGGCCAGGAGCTCAGAGGCTGGGCAGGAGGGTCCCATGGGCTGGATGTGGCTTGCGGGCTGTAGTTTGCCCACCTCTGGCCAAAGGCCTTCCAGCTTCTATCTTATTTGTAGTCCTTGTCAGAGTCTCTGGGTGAGAGAGAAACCCAGGGGGTTACATAAGCAAAACATACAGGAAGATAATTAGGGTGGCTCAAAGAAAAGAGAATATGAGTTAGTTGAAGAGTTTACATATGGAAATGGGAAACTGGTGTTCTAAGAACAGTGCATAAGATGCCTATGTGTTAATGAATCTGGAGCAGTTCTACAAACTACTGACCTGAACTCTTGGTTAATAGATAGAGACCCAAGGGATGTGTGCATGGAGGGAAAACGGACTGATGCTTTTGCTGACAGCTGGTCTGGACGTGAGAGAAGGCACAGAGGGGAGTGGCCCACGCATGGGACGCAGGAGGAGAGGGGGATGTTCTGCATAGAGGCGAAATAGGTAAACCCAAGCGAGCAGGAGCAGCAGCACCAAGCTGACCACAAAAGAAAGATTTCAAGGAGCTGAGGTACGGCACCTGTCAGGGGGTGGGGCACAAATATTCAAACTGCTTGGTGAACATATGCCAAGGAGCTGACTGTGCCTCACAGCAGATTAACTTTGTGGCAGCCGGTTGAAATGGCCCCAAGAAGCTAATCCGAAGTATTTTGGTGATGAGCATAGGGGGTTCCATGAACTCTGCGACCATGTATCCTTCCCATGCAATACTGAGGGAGGAGACTTGTACAATGTGGATGGAAACTGACCTTTATTGTGGTATGCTCCTTGAGATGTTTGTGGTGTTTTTTTAATGAACATATGAGGAAGTAATAGCAGATACTTTGGCTCCAATGGGAGTGCAAGAACTTCCCTAGGGAACTTCTTTGACTGTGGGTCCTGCCAAGGTCAAAGGAAGCTCTCTGAAGGAGAGGAGAGACAGAGCATACCCCAGAGAGGAAGCCATGAAAAGAGAGGTCTAGGAGAAAGAACTTGGAATCCTGAAAAGACACTGACCCAAATCCTGACCAACACTCCAGAGTGGTGAGGAAACGGAGGCAGGGAATGGTGTATCGTTTTATTTTGTCTAGATCTGTATATTGTACTTTTTA